TTCTAGAAGGGGGCTAGTGGACCATTTTATCATCAATCTTTTACTACTCAGGGGAGCATACAAGAAAATTTAAACATGCTAAAAATGATGATCTTGAAAGTGTGAAAAGCATGATCCCATGTTGGTAGAAACAATTGGTTTTTGAGCACTCAGAACACTGCTAAACAGTGTTCTAGACACTGAGGATGGTGCAGTGAACAAAACAAGGCCTATGAGTTCACAAAGCTGACAAAATTGTACTTTTAAAATTCTATAAAAGATGCACACACAGATTTGCAGATATGAAGTACTGAAGGGCAGACAGTAAAATTCTAAAACAGGCATTATGAGTAATTTGTTTTCTTTTTTTCTTCTCCACATTTCCAAATTTTCCTCTAATGCTCAGCACTCGTTTTGGAATTATTTTTTTTTTTCAGTACGCGGGCTTCTCACTGCTGTGGCCTCTCCCGTTGCAGAGCACAGGCTCCGGACGCTCAGGCTCAGCGGCCATGGCTCACGGGCCCAGCTGCTCCGCGGCATGTGGGATCCTCCCGGACCGGGGCACGAACCTGTGTCCCCTGCATCGGCAGGCGGACTCTCAACCATCGCGCCACCAGGGAAGCCCTATTATTATTATTTTTAAAAGAGAATGGAGATCTTTAATTAACTAGGAATTTCTACGAACCTACAGCAGGACCGGAGCCCTCCTCTGCCTCTGCAGTCGGGTAGTCGCTGTAGATGCGAGGGGAGTCTCCGTGTACTTCTGAGGCCGCACCAGCAGAGGGCGACGCGCTCACGGGGCTTGGGGCGGGGCCGCGGCCGCGCTTTTCTCCCCAGCAACACCCGTCCGCGCACCGCTCCGGAGGCGCGGCCTCCCGGCTTTCCCCGCCGGGCCTCCCCACCCGCCCCGCCCCCCGCCCGCCGAGCACCCAGCCGGGGCGGCGGCCGCGCTGCTCGGACCTAGCCAGCGCCTCGCCCCTAGGTCCGGGCCGACCCTGGCGCGGTGGGCGGTACCCGGCTCCTCGCAGACCCGCCCGCGCAGCGCGGGAGGGAGGAGGGGGTGCAGCGCGCGGTCCCGCCCGCCCCGGCCGTCTGCCCCCACTCCGCACCCGGCGCCGCCCTCCCTCTCCCTGCCTCCGCCCTTCCGCGGGGTTGGCCAGGCCTTGGCTGACTCGTACTTTGGAGCCGGATGGGGAGACGTGACTGCCGAGATACGGGCTGCGCCGGGAACAGGCGCGGGGGGAGGGGCGGAGGCCGAGTTTCTGGGCACCTGGCGGCCGGGGCGGATGGGGAGGGCAGAGGCTGCCCCCTCCCCCCGCTCCGGGTTCCCAGGGGAGCGGGAAGGGAAATGCGCTCCTCCCTGGCGCTCGGGGGCCCCCACCCTGGGCCTCGGCGTGTGCGCGTCGCGCCGGTTCCGTTCCTTCTGCTCTTCTGCTCCGCCGCGCCCCGGGCCGCCCTGCAGCGGGGAGAGTCTGGCCTGGGAGGGCGGCCAGGTTAGCAGTCGTGTCCGCCGTAGGTGGTCAGTCCTCTCTCAGGTACGAGGGAAGGAATTTATGCAGTCAGATCCAACCAACATTGAATCCCAGCCTCGGTCCAGCTTAGTTTCCTAATCTGTGAAATGGGAAAAGGAATACCTAACCTCCCAGTAGGCCCGCAGGTTTCACACCAGGAACCTTGTGACGCCACGAGATGTGCCGGGGAGAATTCTAAGGGAGGGAAGAATTATCCATTCCTAAATCCAAGAAAGGGCCATCTCGTGGCGTCTCTACTGCATTTCCCAAGGCCTTCGACAATCTCTTGTTCGCCCTCATTTTGCCCAGGAAAGACCTTCCAATACACACTAGTTACCCTTCATAGAGTTTCCTCCTCCGTAATGGAGATTCAAAGGAAGAGGAGTGCACAAGCAATTCAGTGACACACTTTCTCTTTGGGTTAAATGCGTCAGCCCTAGGATTAAGTTTGGCTTTTCTAGGGCTCTGATTGCAAACAAGGCTTGAGATGAAAAACTCAAAATCCCAAGATCTTAGAGTCAAAAAGCGGGGTGGGGGTAGGTCTTGCCCCACTATGCTTAACTGCTGGTCTTTCACATTTCAGTCACTGCTCTGCCACTTGCTGGTTGTGCCTGCTTCACCAAGGTACTGAATGTCACTGTCTCAGTTTTCTCAGCTGTCAAATGGGAACACAACACTGCTTGGTGGTGACAGGCTCAGGTATCCAGGATGGATCTCTGACTTTCACAAACTCTCATGAGTCCTTTAGGCAGCATTGCCATTTGTCAGGAAATTCTTCCTAGTTGTAGATCCTCCCCAGGTTCAAGACCATATTTCTGCTTCTCAGTCCTGGGAGAGGACTGTTGGTTCCCCCCTTGTTAATGTCATTTCCCTTGCAGCAGACAGGCCACTGCCAAGCTCCTCAGCCTGACCTTCCTTTACCCCTGGCTTCAGATATGGTTTCGGGGTCCTCCCCAAATCCGGTAGATTGGGGAGGTGCGGGTGGACAAATGCTGAGAGAGCTGAGAGGCCCAGACATGGACATTTTTCCTAAATTTGTGAGTTACTAGCAAAACAGGAAGAAAAGAATGCTTACTGAAAATTACCTCCACGCTGGGGTGATTTATCTCAGGGCCCTCACAAGAAGCTTTGAGGCAGGAAGCATCACCTCCTTTTTGCCCGTAAGAAAGCAGAGGACTTGTTGCCCAGGTCCCCAGTCTGTCCTTAGCTGGGTCCTCCTCCACCTCTGAGGACAGAGTGTTACAGGTGGTGCCACCTCCACCTAGGGCCCCTTCCAAGTATGCCTTGTCGACAGGAAATGGCTGCAGTTCCTACTGATGCCTGGTTCTCCTGCCAGTGAGGTTCATGGTCGTTATCACTGGCTTGAAAGGCCAGTTGGCTCTTGGGAAACAAACAGAAGCCTCACCCTCCCTTCCTGTTGGAAACTTTGGCCTCAGCTGCAGAGTGGATGCCTGGGAAACACGTTTCAACTCCAGCCTTGGGGAGCCCAACTGCTCCTGGAGATCTGCCAAGGCTGCTCTTGGGGGAGGTGGGGGGTTGTTGGAGTTGGGAAGTCTGAAGGCCAGGGGGCCCCCGCTCTGGGAGTGTGGGCCTCATCTGGACACTCTTGACGGTGACCATCTGCATCAGTGCTTCTCATTCCTGGCTGCCCAGTGAAAGAATGCTGACGCCTGGGCTCCACCCCAGACCAGTGAAATTACCTTCCTGGGAGGGGGCCCATGTGTCAACATTTGTGATTTCTAAAGCACCCCCAGGTAATTCCAGAGTGCTGTCGCGGTTGAGAAACACTGAGGGAGATCAGTACAAACAGACAGTGGTCAAAGGACAGAATGGGAAAGCATTTGATATCTGAACAAAGGAGGATCTGCGTTAGAGATCAACTAATAAAAGCTGTCCGAGGCAGGAAGGCTCCTTCGGCTGTGGCTGAGCAGGACTGTGGAACACTTGGAAAGAGTCCACCCGTCTGGGAACTGGCATGACTCGGTGCCCAGGGACAGAGGGAGGAACCCAGCGTGACTCCAGGTCCCTCTGGGCCACTGTGCCTGCTTCTGAGATCCATGTTCGTGCTGCCGGGAGAGGCCCCTGATGCTCCTGTGCGCCTCAGTTCTTCCAGTCCAACTGGATTGCTTGCCGGTCCCAGAACTCCCCCTGATCTTTCCCCTTCTAGGTTTTGGTTCCCGGCATTTGATTCCATCTGGAATGTCCTTTCCCCATCTGTTGAAATCCTTCCTCTTCAAGGTCCCTGCCCTAATGCCAGCTCCACCAGGAAGCCTCCACCTTCTGGAAGCGCCTTCTGGAAGCGCCTGTACCCCCTTCCCAGACTGTCACTGCCCGGGTGTGCGCAGGGTTGTCTCCCTGGCCAGGCTGTAGATGCAGGAAGGGCGGGGACGATCACACTCCTCTGTGCCTCTTCCTCCCCCGCCTGTCTCTGGGGGTGGGGTGGAGGCGTCTTGCGTGGAGGAGCCCCACGCTTTTCCTGAATGCTATAGAATTTGTCCCTGTTCCAGGACAGGGTGGACAGCCACAAAGATAAATCCTCTCTGCTCATGCCCCTTCCTGATAGTTCTCTGGCCCGTCCGCTCCATTTCCGGAGTGTCAGGGGGGCTTGTGGTTAGCAGGCAGCGACAGGAAAGAGCTGAGGCCAGGCCTTGACCCAGCACGTGGTGTCCGCAGCACCAGAGTAGCTTCCCCTGGGGAGGGACGGGTAGAAAGACTGAGGCAGGGGATGAGAGCGTCGAGTCCCTGGATGCTGGCGCAGTCTCTTCCCATAGACAGACCCAAAGTCTTAAAGGGAGGGGTAGGACCCCGTGACCTCGGGCGCCGCCGAGGCCAGTGCTGGAGCCACGGAACCGCCTCCTCCCGACAGCGGGGCGTCCGCCAGCCCGCGCCGCAGGTGACCCCAGTCGCTGCCAGTCGTCCCCGCTCCCCGCCGAGCACCCCCAGCGCCCCCGCCGCAGCCGCCTTCTTGGGGTTTTCCGGCTCGGAGTGCCTCAAACGACCTCGGCAGCCGCCGGCCCGGGCCGCTCCCCCGCCCCGCCCCCCGCCTCCCTGGCCGCGGAGCAGGGCTTTCTGATGAGTCAGCGGGAGCCGGGGAGCCTCCAGCCTCCCCGGGCATCTGCTCCGGTGACGCACCGTGACTCACGGGCGCCTGGGCAGCCGCAGCCGCCGAGCGCGCAGCGCGGAGCCGGGACGCCGAGCGCAGGCCCCCGCCGCGGCCGAGCGGCCCCCGGGAGGGCCCGGCTCCGCGCCCCGCGACCGGCGTCTGGCTCCTCCCGCGCGCCCAGCGCCTCCCGCCTCCCGCGCCTCCCGCTCCCGCCCGCCTCCGGCACCCTCCTCCCCCGGCCCCTCGGCTCCCCTGGCCCCAATCCCAGCTGACATCAGACGCTGGCCGCCCGGCCACCCTCTGAGTCAACAGTTTCCGAAGCGGAGCCCGCTGCCAGGGGCTGGGAGAGAGCGCTGCCTCCGGGGGAGGCGGTGCGGGGCTGGCAGCCGCGGGAGGGTGGAGGTGGGTGGGGACCAGCGGAGCTTTTTACAAGAAGTCACGGGGGGTAGGGGAACCGAGAGGGTGAAAAACGCCCTGCGGAGCTGCCTGGGCGGGGAGGGAACCTGCGCCCGGAGCCACGTGCTGGAGCCGGCGCTGGGTGGGTGGCTTGGCGAGGCGTGGGGGAGGGAGAGGCCCTTGCTGGGAAAGGCCCCAGGCCACGTTTCTGGGGGAGGAGAAGAACCGCGGGTGGACACGCTCGGCCCCAGGCCACCAGGGAATGTTCGTGTCTGGAAAACGCGGCCCAGATCCCTTTGATGGGAGCAGCTCTGGCCAAGCCTGGAGGGCTGGCCCTGCCTGCTTAGGGTTGGACCTGAAGAAATGCAGTGGCCTAACCCAATGGCCTCCGCTGACCTCGGTGGGATGGGGTTAGGGCTGGAGGCACCTCCACCTCCCACCCCTCAAAGAGGATGTCTGTCCAAGGGTCAAAGAATTGGAGAGGCTGAGTAAGTTGACGGTGGGTGGCTGCCCAGTGAAGGCGGGGGGAGTAGTAAGAAGAAGGAAGGAGGCGTAAAAAGAAGGAAGAAGAATTTTAAGAACATGCCAAGGACATAACTGCAGTCCTTGGAAAGGTGAGTTTCCTACTACCTGAGGAATCAGGCCAGAATCCTCAGAGGAAAGAAAATGGATTCGCTGCAGGAAGGAATGTGGAGACTGGGCTTCTTCCTCTGAGTAAGAGGCTGGAGCCTCTGGGTGCTCTGGTCTGCCACTGTCCGTGTTGAGCACCCACTTTGAGAGGCTGCCTCCTGTGGCTCTAGGATGCTCAAGAAGGGCAAAAGACCCTTTAAAAAGTACCCACCTGCAGTGGCCTAAGCGGCACCTAGAAGCTTCCTTAACTCTGACAGTTTTCTCTGCCCTTGTCAGAAGGGAGAGGAGCCAGGAAGACAGAAAGGCAGCAAAGCTCCACAGGCACCTGGGTTTCCTAGTCTCCCACTCCATCCCACCTCACCCCACCCTCCCTTGACCCCCAGGATGAGCAAGACACAACTGCCGTTAGTGGGCCTCCAGCTGCAATTTATTCTCAGTTTCTTTCCAGGATTTGACTTGCCGTTCTTTCCAAAGCCACGGCTCGACAAGTGATGCCAGCCCATGGAGGGGGTGTTGTGTCTCATCTTGCAGGCAGAAGTAGCACAACAGCTGGGTGAACCAAACCCATCCAGATCTGTCCAGAGCTGTTTGTCAGTATGGCCTCACAGGACCACGTGAGCTGCCTCTTGCCCCATGTGACCCCCATTCAAACTCAGGCAGAGCAAGAGCTCCCGGCCCCCTTCTCCTTGGGCAGCCTTCTCGCAAGTGTGTGGATGGGTGGCTCATTCCTGCCAGGTCAAAATAGCATTGAGCCAGACTTCTGGGAAGCTCTGTATTCCAGGCCTCTGTAGAAGAGTTAAAAATAACAGCTCTTGGGAAGCCAGGGGGTCTAGTTTGCTGAGGTGGGACAAGATGCAGAGCCCTGTGACATCAAAGGGCAGAAATACTGGCTGGGGATCTGTATGGAAAGTGTTAGTAGCAGGAGGTCCTGGGCCCTGTGTGGTTGCCCTTCGGGGAAGTTGGTGGGCTGGACCAGTGGGGGTTATCCTAGGAGGCTAAGGCCAGGTGCAGAATGGGGGCTGTGGCCGGATACTTAAGCCACAAACACTGCAACCCCCAACTTCCACTTTTTTTTCATGCTGAGAACTCTCTTGGTAGAGGCTGCTTCCTCCAGTGTTTTAAATTCTGATTTCTCATGTATCTGTCAGAGAGACAGTTATCACGAACTGGGTGAAGCTCTTTTCTGCCATTCCACAATCTGTGGACTTGCAGCCCTCCGCACCTGCATGTAACCCTTACCATGCTTTGCCTGGCCTGAGAGGTTTTGCTGTCTTCAACTTCCCTCTCTACCCGGAGGCCTACTGGGAGGCCCAGAGTTTCATCTTTGCAACTCCCTCTTGGTGGAACTCATGGGGAAGTGAATTAGCTGTCATCTCTGCCCTCCTCTGCCCCACACTTGGCCTGATAGCCTCCTTTGTGTCTGAGGGCACTTCCTGTTTGCTGTGTCTGCTGCTTCCACAAGAGCTTCATCCTGGGTTTTGACCCAACCTGCTCTTTGCCTGACAGTTCCGCCCAGCCTTTGGGACCCTGGCTTGTTATCCTGATTGACACCTGGCAGCTGTTCAGCAGGGAGAGCTTATGCATCTTCCCTTAGCAGTTGGAACTAGGGCAAAGGGTCGATGGTGCCTAAGTGTACTTCACTAAAGCCAGCCAGCCCGTTGCGTGTGCCTGCACATCCAGGAATGCAGGTGGACCTAACTGAAGCTAACATGTCGTGTAAATCCACAGTCATACAAAAAATAAGGGCTGCAACCCTTCACAAAACTTTTTTCAAAGCATACCATTAAATATGAGATTCCTGGTATGTATTTAGAGGGCTCATTTTCCTTGCAACTTCTGAGAAATAGATATATTGAAAGTGAGATACAAAATTAGGAGATGAATTAGCAGAGATTAGACTATTTTCAGGGGTCGTGTAACAAAGTCCTGTATTACTGCAGATGCCAGAAAAGTTGGAGATGAAACTGAGCCGAATGAGGAATATCTTGCCTCAAAAGATTTGGCGTAACTCCTCAAAACATCTGGCATCCCTTGGTAGCGTTTATCACTCCACTGAAAAGTTGACCTTCTTCAGCCATCCTTGACCACATAATGGAGCAGAGAGTGGGGCACTGTGTGTCAGAAAATCTGGTTCCGTCTCTGGCTCTGCCGTGTCTGAGCTCTGCTACCTTGGGCCACCTGCTGATCTGTCTGTGCCTTGGTTTCTTCTCCTGTAAAATAGAGATCCTTATACCTACCTCTTAGGACTCTTGTGGGGACCAGAGGAGGTAATTGACACTTGGTGGGTGCTCAGTAAAGGGTAGCTTACAATGTTTTAGACTTTCTAACTTGGGATAACAACTTCCTTAAGTGTATAATCTTCTCCATTGGGATTCTTTAGGTTTAGGGTCAAGAAGAATTGGGATTCTTCTGTCCAAGGTCAAGAAGGTCAAACAGAGAGCATTGAGCTCTTTTTCAGAAGCCACTGGAGCAAAGACCAACATCTCTAGGAGAGGTAAGGAATTTAAGAGCAGCACAATCTGCTAGCCAATCGTGGGTTTCAGGCCTGAGAGAAACCTGATAATGAATCATTCTGAGACCTAATCAGTGACAAAGATGACCTTTGCCCAGACACTGGCATGTCTGAGCTGCTGAATGAGCCTTTAGTGCAGGAGGTGTTGAAAGAGCCTTTATTAGGCTTATACTTATTCATTGAGTCAAATCCAAGAGTTTGAAGACAAATGCAAAGTTTATATTTTGTGTGCCCCTTGACCGTGTGAGATGTTACCCTGAGGGAAAACACTAAATCAGACCCTGCTCTAGTGTGTGATGGGTCCCAGAGCCACATATCGGGGCCCTGGACTCTTGCTCCTGTGAATGGGGGGAGCAGGTAATGTTCCCAGGAAGGACAGATTAATGGGCTGCATTGGACATCCTTTGGAGAGGGAGTAAGAACTGTCCTTTGCACCTCACCTCAGCTCTTTTTGACCCATCTGACACCAATCCAGGGAACATATGGTATATTAGTCTCCTAGGACTGCATAACCAAGCACCACAAACTGGGTATCTCGAAGCAACAGAAATGTATTTGCTCAGAGTCCTGGAGGCTGGAGGTTTGAAATCAAGGTATCAGCGGGGCCCTGCTCTCTCTGAGACTCTGGGTGGACTCCTTCCTTGGCTCTTCTTCCTAGCTTCAGATAGCTGGCAGTCCTTGGCATTCCTTGGCCTGCAGCTACATCACTCCAATCTCTGCCTCTGTTAGCCTGTGGTGTTCTGTGTGCATCTTCATATGGCAATCTCCTCTTTATTAGAACCCCAGTTATACTGGGTAAGGGCCCACCCTAATAGCCTCTTCTTAACTTGTTACACCTGCAAAGACCCTGTTTCCAAATAAGGTCACATCCACAGGTACTGGGGGATTAGGATTTTACAATATCTTTTTTAGGGAAAACAATTCAACCCATAACATATGGTAAGAGCGATACCTTTGATAAACAGGCTGCCGCACAGGCTGAGAAGGTCGTCAACATGGGCATTCTGCCCTGTGCCAGCAAGGGGGCAAATTGGGACAGTAAGTTGGCAGTCCATCTATCAGGAGCCTCAGAAACATTCATATCCTTTAATCCAGTGATTCACAACTAGGAATCCAGCTGTAGGAAGTCATCAAAAATGTTGATAAAGGGCTTCCCTGGTGGCACAGTGGTTGAGAGTCCGCCTGCCGATGCAGGGGACACGGGTTCGTGCCCCGGTCCGGGAAGATCCCACATGCCGCAGAGCGGCTGGGCCCGTGAGCCATGGCCGCTGAGCCTGTGCGTCTGGAGCCTGTGCTCCGCAACGGGAGAGGCCACAACAGTGAGGGGCCTGCGTACCACACACAAAAAAAAAGTGTTGATAAAACCTTATGCACAGAGGTATTCATCTCAATGTTGTTTATAACAATTATTAGAAACAACTTCAATGTCCAGCAGTTAGGGATGGTCATTAAAATAAGCCACATCTACATGAGGGGGGTGTTATATAGCCTTTAGAAATGATATTTCCAGAAAAAAATTTGTAACATGGGAAAAAATGAAATAAAATGATATATTCTATATGTTGTCAACTTTACAAAAAATATACAAGGAAGAAAAACATCAACATAATGTTAGAAGTCTCCCCCCTTCTTGTGAGAGATTTTGAGTGATTTTTAAAAATTATTATTATGGCATTATATATATTCTCTGCATTAGCTTTATAACCAAGGAAAAAAAACCCTAATGTTATTTTTAAAATAGACATATAAATAGTTTCCTGGAATATACGTTCCAGGGAAGTTCTGGCTGGGAGGAGAGTAGCAACTGCTGGGTGTCCGGCTGATTTCTGTGTTTATAAGCCATAGCCGTAACCCTCTAGAGTTTCTCAACATGTAGTTGGATGGCTCCTTGCCTCAGAATTACCCATGATGCTTATTTAAAAATGCAGAATTCTAGGCCCAACCCTAGGCCTACTAAATCAGGATCTCTGGGCGCAGGGCCCAGGAATTTGCATTCTTATAGGCTCTGCACACTTGAGTTTGAATTCCCCTTGCCTTAGAGGCTGTGGACAACCCACTCATCAGTAATCCAGCATGGTTTCTCACATCAGTCACTTTTGCTTTGAAGAGAAATTACTCTTTTTATAAAGTTCATTCTTGGTTGTGCCTAAGACAGGAAGCTGCAAAACATATTCAAAAGAATAGAAAATTCATAATTGTATTTTATTTTGGAACTCAGTAACAGCAAGTTGTGTTTCCTAATTTACATTAGGCTAATAATTAAAACGAGTTAACATTCCCAGACTCTACCCTAGGTTGGAATTGAGTAGCTGCAGGAGGACATCAGCCCACAGGGAAAGCTTTACCCTATTAACAAGTGGGTATTCCACATGCCATTAGTTGAGAATCGTAATTATAGACATGATTACTTTTAACTCACAACCTGAGGTGTCCTTTATTGATTGGTTTAGGGGAGCGCTATCAGAGGACAGTAGAAAGTTCTCCACTTTGAGGTGTGTGCTGGCTCAGGGCAGGTGCTGGCTGAGAAAGCCCTCCCAGCCCTCTGGGGCTGTGACTTGTCCAGACCCAGGGGAGCTGTAACTGCTGGGTTGGGGAAGGGACAGCAGCTGTGCAATTTCAGCCATCTCGTCAGTAGGTGAAACTCAACGCCGCAAAGAGGCAATAATTCAGGGTATTAGTCCACACTTGTTGCTTCCGGAGTTGGTCACAGCCTCCTAGGAGAAAAGATGAGCCATCCTGAGAATGAAGACAGCTCCAGGTGGGAGCTGTAAGAAAAAAGGGCATCTTGCCTCCTGGCAGGGACCATATCCCCCCTCTGTGCCCTCTCGCCCTCTCGTAGAACAGATGGCTTCAGGCTGCAGGACCCCGCACCTGATCCGCGCTGTTTGGGCGGGAAGAGGGCCACAGGAGGTGGGTGAAGTGCGTGGCCCCTTTTAATAACACCTTCCATTTGTGCTGTGTCGTAATCCCCAGCGCTCTGGCAGTACTGGATCGCCCCACGGTGGGAAATGAGACCTGGATGGGCAGGGCTGTCGTTAGCTCACCAACTCGGGGAGGCCCCGAGCAGTGGGGCTGAGAGCCGGGCTCTGGGGAGCACAGGGCAGGAGGTCAGGCCAGTTGTGCCTTCTTCCCTGCGGCATGGGGAGGGAGGGAGCAGAGGAAGGCAGCCAAAAGGGTTAGGACCCATCAAGGAGGAAAAACTGTAAAAGGAAGCCCTGTAACTTTCATACAACATGTAATTAACTCTCAGCAGAAGATGCCATGGATTCATAATGGGAGCCGACAGCGGGGGAGGAAGGCTCTGACAAGCATGAGATTTCTTGGGGTTTTTTTTTTAAATTTAATTTTTAAAGGAACACGAACAGTTGCAATTATAATCGTGGACCTTCCGTGATAGTGTCTCCCCAGCAGCAAGCCAGCTCATGCTGTCTCCCACCCTACCCAGGCAGGATGAGCAGGAAGGGCTTTTCTGCCTGGAGCTCTCTCCGGGCTCCTGGTGCCCCAGGGTGGGTCTGTCAGCAGCGCCTGCTCTGTCAACCTGCCCGGCGTGTGAGTCCATCCCAGAGCCCTCTCTTCTCCGTGACAGCTGTCCTTGGAGTCACCCTGGTCTCCAGCCAGGGGCTCCCAAGGTCGCCCTTCTGGCAAAGCCCAGGCCTCCTCCCTAGTGCCCTGCCCTCAGTAGGGTGGCCGCACCCCATGAGGAAGGGAAGTGCAGCTGGAGAGGAAAGGCAGGGAGCCCCGGGGTGGGATGGCTGCAGGTGGGCAGTGCCTGGATATCCGCCAGAACAAACGGGGCCAACGTTCTCCCAGGCACAAAGGGCACTCTGTGCGGGACACACCCAGCCGCGTGTGCAATCTGGGAGGCTCACGTTTCCTAACACAAAGGAGGCCCATTCCCAGACAGTGCTGGGTGTGGCCCCGTAGGCTGAACCCTGCTGGGCAGGGCCCCGTGACCCATCTGGATGGGTGACTTCAGTCCTCATTATGCTCTGGTCTGCACATGAGGATGGAGAGAGGCCGCTTAACTCCACAGGACATTGGGCAACTGCCTTTTCTTCCTCTGGGAAAGAGGCTGTGAACTATGAAGAGGGCATTCATTTTTTTTTCCTTAAAATTTATTTATTTTATGTATTTATTTATTTTTGGCTGCGTTGGGTCTTCGTTGCCGTGCGCAGGCTTTCTCTAGTTGGGGCGAGTGGGGGCTACTCTTCGTTGCAGTGCACGGGCTTCTCATTGCAGTGGCTTCTCTTGTTGCGGAGCACGGACTCTAGGTGCGCAGGCGTCAGTAGTTGCGGCACGCGGCTCCAGAGCGCAGGCGTCAGTAGTTGTGGCTCGCGGGCTCTAGAGCGCAGGCTCAGTAGTTGTAGCGTACAGGCTTAGTGGCTCCGCGGCATGTGGGACCTTCCTGGACCAGGGCTCGAACCTGTGTCCCCTGCATTGGCGGGCAGATTCTTAACCATTGCACCACCAGGGAAGTCCCGAGGACATTCATTTATTGAACATATATTTCTTGGGCACCATCTAGGTGCCAGCAAATAAAACAGACGAACTTTCCTGCTCTTAAGAGCTTACGTTTGACACAGAAGCATAGGCGCTTCTCCTCTGCATTCGTTTCCTAGAGCTGCTGTAACAAAGTACCACAGATTGGGTGGCTTAAGCAACAGAAATGTATTTTCTCACAGTTCTAGAGATTAGAAATCCAGGATCGAGGTCTGGGCAGGGTTGGTTCCCTCTGAGAGGCTGTGAGGCCTGTAAGGGCAAGTCTGTTCCAGGCCTTTCCCCTCACTTCTGGTGGGTGCTGGCAATCTTTGGTGTTCCTTGGTGTACAGCTGCAGCACCCCAACTTCTGCCTGCATCTTCACATGGTGTTCTCCCTGTGTGTCTCTTTATCCAAATTTCCCCTTTTTATAAAGACACCAATGGTGCTAAATTAGAGCCCACCCTAATGGCCTCATTAACTTGATCATCTTTGGAAAGACTTTATCTTCAACAAAGGTCACGTTCTGAGCTACTAAGGGTTAGGACTTCGACATGTCTTCTTTTTTTGAGGGTGGACATAGTTCAAGCCATAACAGCCTCTATGGAGAAGTGCAGGAAGGTATGGAGGAGAGTCATTTGCCTTTGAGGTGCCTGCAGGCTCCTGCTTCCTCAAAGTCTCTCGTGAATACATCTGATTGGTGGAACCTGGGTCATGAGTCTGTGCCCCACTGCAAGGCAGGCTGGGAAATCGAGTTTCTGGCTTCTTACCTTGGGGAGGATGGACATCTAATGTGGGATCTTACCCAAACACGGGAAGCACATTCAAAGGATTCATGCAAAGGTGGCCACAAAGCACAAGAGAAATCTACCATGCAGGTGCTTTCAGATTTTCTCCAAGGGGACCCAAAAGCATAGCATGAGGACAACAGCATCAGTGTCTCATCTGCCCTTTAATGCCTGGTATTGTGTGCTGCCCACTGCAGAGACCAAATGTGGGGGACCACAGAGGACATCTGGCCAGTCTACATAATAGTGAACAACTAACATTTAGTAAGCATTTACTATGTGCTAGGAAATTTCCTAAGCTCCTTACATGCACTGCCTCATTTAATCCTCACAACAGCCTTATGAAATAGCGATGAGGATTAGCCCCTTTCACAGATGAGAGAACTGAGGTACAGAGAAGTTAAGTAACTTAGCCTACTAGGTGAGAGGGCCAGCATTAGAGCCCAGCCATTTCAGTCTGAGACTGAGAGCTTAGCCACCGTGCTCTCTAAGAGCACAGTGATGGAAGAGGATGATGAGAGATGGAAGCCAGGCTTTAGGGCAGGTGGGTGAGTGCTATTAAGCCACTGCCCAGATGTCAACCTGGGAGCTCACTGGAGCCACCCCTGGATGGCATATACATTGTCTCACACCGTCTGAGCCAAGGTGGGTGTGATGTTGGCCTGAGGCACCCTGACAAAGTCCTCAGGAATCCTGGGAGAGAGGCGTGGGGAGAGGCAGGAGGGAGGGGGAGGGGGGAGCCTGCAGCTGGGGTGCTGCAGGACCGGCCCAGGAGGCCCTGCCTGGCGTGGCTGAGGATGGCCTACGTCCAGGATGCAGGGGGCTGGGCAGGGGCTGGCTCTCCTGAGAGGCAGGGAGAGCCCAAACTGGGCCCTTGCCAAGGTACTGCCTGGAAAGGGCCAGGTGTTCCCAAAGGTTCTTCCCCAGTGACCTGGAGGAACAGCTGGGCCTTGGAGAGGCCTGGTGGCTGCCAAGGCCGACCCTCCGTGTTGAGGTGCATTTGGAAAGTGGTTCAGGTCCCTGACACACAGCCAGAGGCAGAGACCTGGGACCTCTGTGCCTGCCCTGGGGGAAGCCTTGGCCACGCCCTACTCCTGCGACTCTGGATGTTGGAACATTGCTGTTTCTAATACTTTGGGGGGGAAATGTGGGAAAGGGGGCAGGAGGAGACAAAAGTGAACGGGACATATTTCCGCAGCCCCAAGCATGTTCAGCTGGTGACCTTCTGAGGCCCTGGCCCTTAGGATTGGGCCTTGAACCTCATACACTCCAATCCAGAGTATAATTTCAAGGGTGTCCATACACCAGGGGTGTCTGTCATTCACCAGTCAGCCCTCCTCTCGAGAAAGCTGGGACCAGCCTAGCAGCTTCCCTTTCCAAAGGGAAAGAGGGGACAAGGTGGTAGCTGGGCTTTTCTTAAAAAGAACAGAAGACAAAGGTAGAGTATATTCCTCAACAAACGTGAAGGAAAAGAAATTTTCCACTAGAGGTTTTTCTTTTCTTTTTTTTTTTTTTTTGGAGGTTTTCATTACAGTAGGTCACTGTGAAATACAGAGTTAATAAGATAGATCAGCTTCAGAAATGTATGCAAACATCAGTAGTGTTCCAGAGTTTTAAAACCAGGTTAATATCTACAATAACATGAAAAATACCAGTGCCCCACATGTGCCCTGATGTTCAGTTATCTTCCCATAGATAAGAAGCAGAGAAGAGGGACATTCTTAGAATTTAAAGAATGAAGTGAGGCCAGGGTTGCCAGATAAAATACAAGATGGCCTGTTACATTTGAATTCCAGATAAAACAACGAATATTTTGTTAGTATAAAACCATGTTCTGAATATTGCATGGGACATGCCTCTACTAAAAAATTATTTGTCATTTATCTGAGATTCCAATTGAACTGGCCATCATGTATTTTCATTGGCTCAATCTGGCAACCTTGTGTGGGCCTCCATCCACCCCAGTAGGGGAAGGCAGAGAAGTGACTTCTGGGAGAGTCTGGCAGGCATACGCCTCATGTCGGGGACTCCAGGGAGACCAGTCCTACAGCTCCAGGGCTACCGTGTAGGGCCCTGGGAAAAGGCCCTGAGCCTCTTCTCAGAGATCTCCCTGGAGGGAACAGGCAGGGCCCAACAGCTGCAGAAGGAAGCCTTGAAAACAACCTGGAAACAATTCAGCCTTCTCCTGGCAGCTGCCAACACATCTACAAGTGCACCAGGGCTCCCAGACCACACGCCGGGCCACCTCTCATAGTCTTGAGAGGTCACCCTGACCCCCCTGGGGTATAGTAACACTGAGCCACACCTGAGCTGACCCTGTGAACGCCCCAGCCTGCACTGACCTCTCCTTCAGGTCTGCCTGTGTCAGCCCTGCTCACGCTGGCTGAATTTCCCCACATTCTCTGGGGTTGAGGTCATCGAATACCCATGGGCCTTTCCTGCAAGGCTGAAGTGCCAATCCCTGGGCATTAGCTGGGTGACTAGTTATTTGTGTGCTGTCCACAGGTAACCTAGGGAGGGGAAGTGTGGGCACCTGCTGCCCAGGAGCCCTGGGAAATCACTGGGTGAGAGAGTCCAGCAGTCTCTCCCCAGAAGGTGAGTGGAGCCTGCCTGCCTGAGGGCTCTGGGCGAGCTACAGACCCTCCAGCCTCGCAGGCCCCCTGCTATGCTAGCTCTGCTGAGGGGCAGGTCTCCTCGTGGCTTTCCTCCCAGGGCTGTGTGGCAGCTGTTCTCCTGTCCTTTCCCAGAGAACAGGGAGGGAAGAGGGAAGGAAAAAAAGGGGCAGACCTGTCCTGGGAAGTTTCAGCTTGAATGTTGGACCAGAGCACTCACTGGAGTGCTGAGAAAGGAAGGAAGGAAGGACAGCCTGTGAGCAGAGCATGGCTTTGATAAGCATCTCCTGTGAGGTGCGTTTAGTCCCATTTTCACAGAAGATGAAACTGAGGCCCAGGGAGTTTGTGGAACTTTCCTCAGGTCACACAGAAAATGCTAGAGTCAGAACTCACAGCCAGACCACTCCGATTCTTTTTTTAAAAAATAGTTATGTATTTATTTATTTGGCTGTATCGGGTCTTAGTTGCGGCACGCGGGATCTTTCGTTGAGCAGTGCGGCTTCTCTCTATTTGTGGTGTGTGGGATCTAGAGCGCGCAGGCTTAGTTGCCCCGCGGCATGTGGGATCTTAGTTCCCTGACCGGGGATTGAACCTGCGTTCCCTGCATTGGAAGGCAGATTCTTAACCATTGGACTGCCAGGTAAGTCTCCAGACCACTCTGATTCTTAAACCTGGGCCCATTCTATTGCTCTTTGCTACCCAGGAGAGTCCTGATCTAGCTCAGGAGGAAACAGCTACTGTCAACTCTGTTATTCTACTATGTCAGGTTCCAGCCCCCTCCACTACCCCCAAGCTTGGCTCATGACTGTGAAATTTCCACTAGAAAATGCTGAAAGGAAACAGCTGTACTTCTCTGTGACACGCCAGGACCCCCATCTCCTGGGCTCGTAACCCTCCTGTCACAGAGCTGAATGAACGCGCTGGGTGAGGCTGTGGTGCTCTCGGCAGCACGTTGGGAATTGCCCCCAGTCCCCACTCTCGTGGGGCTCATTTGGTAATTCGTGACAGGCTGAAAACCAGCCTCTTAAACCCAGCCTGTGTGCTTGGTTGAGCCTGGTGAAACTGGAACATATAGGCCCCCATGATGCTCCCACCCTCATCCCCAGGGGTTAGTCTGAGTTGTCCCTGCCCCCTTAGCCCTCCTCTGATGTCTCCCACAGAGGGCTCAAGCCTTCCTTATCTTGGGCATTTCTCATGTCTCTGGCACTCCTGTCACCTTGGGTCACTATTCCTCCCCCTCAACACCTCACAGAAGTAGGATGAAAAGAAATGTCTGCGTGTGGTAGGGAGAGAGTGGGGGGCTGGGAGGGAAGAGAGAGAGCTCTGTTTCTTCTGATCATGAACTTCCTTTTTTATAATTTAATTTTATTTTTTAATAAATTTATTTATTTATTTTTGGCTGCTGTTGGGTGTTCTTTGCTGCGCACAGGCTTTCTCTAGTTGGGGCGAGCGGGGGCTAGTCTTCGTTGCGGTGCGCAGGCTTCTCATTGCGGTGGCTTCTCTTGTTGCAGAGCACTGGCTCTAGGTGCGCAGGCGTCAGTCGTTGCGGCACGCGGGCTCCAGAGCGCAGGCATCACTAGTTGCGGCACGCGGGCTCCAGAGCGCAGGCGTCAGTCGTTGGCGGCACGTAGGCTCCAGAGCGCAGGCATCACTAGTTGTGGCACGCGGGCTCTAGAGCGCAGGCTGTAGTCGTGGCTTGTGGGCTCCAGAGCGCAGGTTCGGTAGTTGGCTCATTAGCGCACGGGCTTAGTTGCTCTGCGGCATGTGGGATCTTCCCGGTAGGGCTCGAACCCATGTTCCCTGCATTGGCAGGCGGATTATTAACCACTGCGCCACCAGGGAAGTCCCGAACTTCTTCACTGACTCATGCGTGTGTACTGGCTGGATGCGGAAACACAGGAGGAGATGGAGACTGGATGTGGTAGTACCGGCCAGGTCCCCACACGGCCCAGGCTCTTGGCTCAAAGCCTGTTCCCAGACATTTGTTAACCAAATGACGTTAAAAAGGACTTCCAAGCTCTACTTGCACCTCCTCTGCTGAGGATTGACTCAGTAGCATTTCTCAGAAGCACCTTTCTTCTGTCATATCTTGCAGCTCCTCTAAGACTCCAGTAACGTCCAGCCTACGCAGTGTCTTCTCTTGTTGGAGTGTGGCTCTTGGAGCCCGACTGCCTGGGTTCATGTCCTGGCTCTGAACCGGCTCATACTTGGGCGCATTCCTTAATCTCTCTCTGCCTCAGATCCCTCACCTCTGATGTGGGGATTAGAACATCTACAGCCTAGAGTTGTTGGGATTACAATGTCAACAGCCATAAAAGACTTAAAATAGTAGCTGGTACACGATAAGTACTATATAAGTGCTAGCAGCCATCATTTTTACTATTATGATGATGATTCATCTCTTCCCTTTCCTTCGACATCTCCAGTCCCATCTTTATCAATGCACTCTCCTCCTGAAGCCTCGGTGACTGAACAGAGCCATCCTTATAGGGTGGTGTGAGAGGACTTGGAAGGCTGCAGACTCTCACATGGAGATGAACCTGTGCCTGATGTCTGAGAAGGTGTAGGGACCCCTACAGATGGTTCTGAGGTGGGAAGGAGCAAGTCGCCCTCCACTGTACTGAACGAACGGGGACCCATCCGCTTGCAGCAGGGGGCGTATCTCCTGGTGGGGACGGAGCTTTGGCTTTGAGTCCAAACAGTTTTACTCAGGGGAAAACTCGTCAGTCAGAGGAGTGCCGAACATGTCCAGATGGAGGTGAAACCGCACAACTGGTCTCAGATGGGATGAAACCTCACAACTCAGATGGGACTTGAACCCAGCCAAAATTCTGATTGGGACTTGAACCCACTGTCTTTTAATTGAAATCACACACATGGTCTCAGGACTTAATGAAGCTCAGGTTCTTTGTGTCTCACCTCAGAAGGAATTCAGCTAGAGGCAAAGTGAAAGGTAAGTAGATTTATTGAGAGAGATACACATTCCACAGACAGAATGCAGTCTGTCTCAAAAGGCAAAAGTGGCCCTGAAATATGGTGTGGATAGTTTTTATGGGCTGGGTAATTTCATAGGCTAATGAGTGGGAGAATCATTCCAACTATTTTGGAGAAGGGGTGTGGATTTCCAGGAACTGGGCACCGCCCAGTTTTTGGCCTTTTATGGTCGGCCTCAGAGCTGTCATGGTGCCGGTGGGTGTGTCGTTGATCATGCTAATGCATTACAATGAGCGTATAATGAGGCTCAAGGTCCACTGGGAGTCACATCTTCCACCACCTTGGACCTAGTTGGTTCTAACCAGTTTATGTTGTATCTTCAACCTGCTATGTCCTTCTTTTTTTTTTTTTTCTTCTTTTTTTTTTGGTATCTTACTGTAGTTTGTTTATTTTTAACATCTTTATTGGAGTATAATTGCTTTACAATGGTGTGTTAGTTTCTGCTGTATAACAAAGTGAATCAGCTATACATATACATATATCCCCGTATCTCCTCCCTCTTGCGTCTCCCTCCCACCCTCCCTATCCCACCCCTCTAGGTAGACACAAAGCACGGAGCTGATCTCCCTGTGCTATGTGGCTGCTTCCCACTAGGTATCTATTTTACATGTGGTAGTGTATATATGTCCATGCAACCGGCTGTGCCATTCTTTTAAAGGTTGTGCCCTGCTCCCTTCCCTCCTGTTTCAGAGGTTGCAATTAAGACACTCATACGGAGGACTCTAGTGGGTTGATGGGTGGCTCCCCCAAAAGATATGTCCATGTCCTAGCCCCAAAAACCTGTGAATGTGACCTTGTTTTGAAAAAGGGTCTTTGCAGATATAATTAAGAATCCCGAGATGAGGTCATCCTGGATTATCCAGGTGTGTCCCAAATCCAGTGACAAGTGTCCTTATAAAGAGCAGAAGAGAATTCACAAATACAGAGCAGAAGGTCATGTGAAGACAGAGGCAGAGATTGAAGTTATAAAGCCAAAGAAAGCCTGGAGCCACCAGAAGCTGGAAGGGAAACTTTGGAGAGAGTGCAGCCCTGAGGACACCTTGACCTTGGATTTTTCGCTCCCAGAACTACGGAAGAATTAATTTCTGTTGTTTTAAGCCACCCAGTTTGTAGTAATTTGTTTCAGTAGCTACGGGAAATTAATAACAAGGACCAATTGCAAACCACAGCCCATCCCCACCCTGAAAGGAAAAGATAAGGGGCCATGGTCTGAAGTGGTGAAGGCAGAGAGAAGTGAAACTCAAAGGATCAATGAAGGACTTTCATAGTTTGCTGCATACAATGGAGTGGTTTGTGCACTGCACAACGGTGGGCACCATATACAGCATGGTTGTAGATCTGAATATTTATTGCTTGTTTTCTTTCTGCAGGGGTCAATAAGGTATCTTGAGGAAGGGATGCCTCTTTCTAAAACACACAAAACTACCCTATGACCTTGTTGGTTTTTGGTGAGAAACATCTAGATAGCCCTGTCCAATAGAACTTTCTGCAAGTATGGAAATGTTATAATTGCGCCATCCAATAGAGTAGCCATGAGTCACATGTGACTCTTGAGCACTTAGAATGTGGTTTGTGCAACTGAGGAGCTGAATTTTTGGCTGTGTTGGGTCTTCGTTGCAGCACGCGGGCTTTCGTTGGTGGCGAGCGGGGGCTACCCTTCTTTGCAGTGCGTGGGCATCTCATTGCAGTGGCTTCTCTTGTTGCAGAGCACGGGCTCTAGGCCCGTGGGCTTCAGTAGTTGTGGCTCGCGGGCTCTAAAGCACAGGCTCAGTAGTTGTGGTATACGGGTTTAGTTGCTCCGCGGCATGTGGGACCTTCCCGGACCAGGGCTCGAACCAGTGTCCCCTGCGTTGGCAGGCGGATTCTTAACCACTGTGCCACCAGGGAAGCCCCGAATTTTATTTTAATTAATGTAAATGTAAAAAGCCACATGTGGCTGGTGGCTACCATATTGGACACACAGCTCTAGGTCAAAAAAATGGAAGCTCAGGACTGCTTGGTGTAGAATTTAGTCACCAGAAGCCTGGCCACTATTCACTAGATATTGTTCATGGGCCCCTCTGCAACTGTAGTCCTTATTGAGTTGAGGGGGGGTCAGTCAGGGACCAAGGTGGAGGTAGAGGTGGTGGCAGGGAGCGAGGAGTGCCCGGAAGTATGAGAAATGCCCAGCTGGACTGGAGCAAGGGTCCAACAGCAGAAGGAGGAAGAGAGAAAGGCTTGCCCAAGGAGGTAAGAGCTTTCTCTCCAAATTGCTGGCTTTCCCTACTCTTAGTAAACTTTCATGAATCTGTCAATCATGAAGTTAGCTATACTCTTTAGGAACCCTCCCTCCCTTTTTTTCTGGCTGCACTGTGCTACTTGCAGGATCTTAGTTCCCTGACCAGGTATTGAACCTGGGCCCTGTCAGTGAGAGAGTCGCGTCCTAACCACTGGACCACCAGGGAATTCCCTCTTTTAGAACCTATTTTTGCTTTCAGCTTTCAGTTTGGAATAATGAATTTTTTTGTGTGTGTGTGGTACGCGGGCCTCTCACTGCTGCGGCCTCTGCCGTTGCGGAGCACAGGCTCCGGACGTGCAGGCCCAGCGGCCATGGCTCACAGGCCCAGCCACTCCGTGGCATGTGGGATCTTCCTGGACGGGGGCACGAACCCCTGTCCCCTGCATCGGCAGGTGGACTCTCAACCGCTGCGCCACCAGGGAAGCCCTGGAATAATGAATTTTTATTTGGAGATAATCATAGAGATGGGCAGGGGGTGCCAGTCTGGGGGCTCCTGGGCCTTGGGGTCATTCACTCCTTGAAAGGGGGCTCTTTGGGAGCAGGTCTGTTTAAGCTCCCAATCAAGCCTGCTATGGGAAGGTGGGAGCTCTCCCTGTCTATGCCACCCCACATCGCCCAGGTATAGTGTCCAAACTCCTGTCTGGAGAGCAAGACATTTGCCCAGCTGCACCTTCATCCCTTGAAGGGACCTGAAGACTCCTCCAAGGTGGGAAGAAAAGTCTAATATGTCATTTGGTGATCATCACACTCTCCCCGCATGTTGGTAAGCAATGAGTGTGAATTTACTGAAGACTTTTAGGGGTAAGTGCCAGACAGACAGTGAAGGCCTGGCTATTCCAGCAACATCAGCATCACCTGGGAGCTTGTTAGTGATGCAGGCTCTCAGACCCACCTGATGGAATCAAGACTAGGTTGTAAGGCTCCCCATGTGATTGGGGATGCACAGTAAAGTTTGAAACACTGCTCTAGAACAAGGCCCATTCCCTGACATTGATTTAATGGACTTGTTTTGAATTAATTAATGGAGCCGAACTGACCTTGCTGTTTCAGAATTTTGTTGATTTCACCACCCTGGAGAACCTTCCAGTAAAACATAAATCTGCCAAAATAGTTTCCAAGCTCGATTATCCCAGACGGAATCCCCTCCAAGGGCGTGGATGTTCTGAAAGCTCAGGATAAAATGTATTCCACATCCCTGATCTTTGCGAGGGAGACACTTTGGGAGTGTGGTGGAGAGCGAGAACCTCCTTTCAGGGCCAGCTCTGAAGCTTGGCTCTGCATTGGTGGCAACTTTTCCTGCCACACCTGAGAGGACCTGGGCTCTGCCCCCATGGAGAACAGTTACAGTATCTCCATCCTCACCTGTGGTTTCCCTTCACCAAAGCCTGGCAAAGAGGTGGCCCTTCTCAGGATTTTCTGAACAGAGCCAGCGGCCCATGGCTATCAAAAGAGAACATGAGCCTACTATCAAAGGGCTTAAAGAGACACAGAATCACCGAATTAGAAAGTGGTATTAAGCAACCTATTTTTCCATCGACAGATGAATGGATAAAGAAGATGTGGTACATATATACAATGGAATATTACTCAGCCATAAAAAGGAACGAAATTGGGTCATTTTAGCAATGTGGTTGGACCTAGAGTCTGTCACACAGAGTGAAGTAAGTCAGAAAGAGAAAAACAAATACCATATATTAACGCATATATACGGAATCTAGAAAAATGGTACTGATGAACCTATTTGCAGGGCAGGAATAGAGACAGAGACGTAGACAATGCACTTGTGGACACGGCAAGGGTGGGCAAGGGGAGGGTGGGACGAATTGAGAGAGTAGCATTGACATATATACCCTACCATGTGTAAAACAGATAGCTAGTGGGAAGCTATCTGATCTCCCTGCTATATAGCACAGGGATATCAGCTCGGTGCTCTGTGATGACCTAGAGGGGTGGGATAGGGAGGGTGGGAGGGAGGGGATATGGGGATATATGTATACATATATCTGATTCACTTTGTTGTACAGCAGAAACTAACACAACATTATTAAGCAATTATACTCCAATAAAAAAAAAAAGAAAGTGGTATTAGCAGATCTACAACATCCCATACAGCAGGAGGTACAGCTGTTGAAAATAATTTTTTAAGAGGTTAATTTTACAAAAAGCAGATCGTAAAATAGAATTATAGTCTTTTCATTTTCATTTTATTATATTATTATTATTATTTGGCTGCACCATGCGGCTGGCAGGATCTTAGCTGCCTGACCAGGGATCGAACCTGGGGCCCCGGCAGTGAAAGCGTTAGTCTAACAACTGGACCTCCAGGGAATTCCCCTTTTCATTCTTAAATAAAAATATATCTCTAGTCAGAGAAAAAAATGCCTGGAAGGATATATTCCAAAATCTGTGGTGTCAACGCTCATTAGCCATAGGACACCAAGAACATATGTGTAGTAGGGCTTATGGGCAGTGTGGGGCATCTGGGTAAGAAGATGCTAGAAAGGAATTAGTATCAGGTTTGAGCTTGTGGTCGGTGCTTTGGGGGTGGTTCAAGCAAGCAGGGCTCTGCTTTGAATTGGATGCTGCTGGGAAGCAGGGTAATTTTATGATTGGATATCTTAATAATTCACATCAAGATGAATGGAACGAGGCTATAATTGGTAATAACTAAACAAAAACAA